CAAACTCCAGAACCATTGGGAGTCAGTACTGACTATCAAGCACTTTCTGTGATCATTCCACCTCTGCCGTTTCTTGACAGCAGACCTGCCATTTTCATCTTGTTTCTCCACTGCAAAACATTAACTAGATGCATCCTTAATAGAAATTGCTTGTTCAGTTCCTGAACAGGATGCAGCCTGAGACAATGCTGATTAACGTGGAAGCATTCTTTCAGATAGTACCATGTCTCACTTGCAGTTTAGAACGTGTGAACTTTTGTGATACAAGGAGGAGCATCACTGCAAAACCAGCATTTTTGCCTGCATACAAAGTTCCTGTCATGTATGGGCTGCTTTACAAAACAAGAGTGGTTCAGTTCTGCATTTTCATTGGTCTGCCAACATTGAAGTCAGACTTGATCTGCTGCAAACTGAAAATTTGACAAAGATACAGTTATATATAACCGAAACACTGCTCCAGCAAAGAATAAATATATATAAGCACTCCTCCAAAAGAGAAATTTATTTTTACACGGGCCACTTAAGGTATGACAGGTGGACCAGTCAATGAAGATGTGACAACTATGACAACTAAGCAATAGTAAGTAATCTTAGCTTACTATATTATCATGTTTCTACTTGGACAGTCCCAACATATCATAAGTCCGCTAAAATACTACAATCCGCCCTAATGAGCATAGTGAATATTCCCCTTGGCAACAATTTAGATGGCCACAGAAAAACATATTATTGACTACAGAACTTTAAATTAGCTAGCTAAATTTTCAATAAAAACCATTCCTGATTGCCAAAACCTAGGCAGCAGTATTGTGTATATAAGCAATGTCTTAAATGTCAGTCAATCAGATGCAGTACCATCTAGGTATCCTACAGCACACCAAAGATTTCCAGTAGAATGTCTCCAAGTGCAGCTTACTTGAAGCAAACTTGCTTGCCTCCATACGTGTTTATACATACATACATACATACATACATATATATATATATATAAAGGTCGCAAGATAGGCAGTTACAAAAGCAAGAAATGACTTCAGCATTCTCTAAAACACCTGTCTTAACTATAGGAACAGTCCAATGCACATTACATCAGCACACCCCCTCTAGGGTCACTTCTTTTTATCCAAAAGGGTACATCCAATCTATTCAGTTTCACACAAGACAAGTCCCACTCAAATGTTTCAGCCCATTCAATCCTACAAATTTGCCCTGAACAACAGGGCAAAATTGTAGCTCACACTCTTTAAATAGGAAAAAACAATGAGGAAAAAAGCGCCAAGGTCATCGAAGGATATCATTTTTCATAAAAACATCCAGAGCCCAATATTCAATTTCCATACATGGATTCTTGTCTAACCTTTCGGTAAAGATTAGATAGACATATTTTAGTATACAGCGAGGGGACACATTCATTAGTTCACACTTTCCCAAATAAGAAAATGAAATAAAACTATTAATTGATTATAGATTGGCATCTTTTTTTAAAATGATTCATGAGCTTGTAAATTAACTGTTTTGCTTTGAAAATGCAAATCAAGCAATGCTAGAAAGCAGTTTCTCTACTTCTCTATCAGAGAAGAAAGCTTGTACTCAATCACAACTATAACCCAGGTATTTGGCTTCAGAAAGATGAATCCCAAGATGATCAAACACATGCATTTTGATAGAGACAAGTAATGGCATACACATGCTCTTCCAATAAGGAGGACAAATGAAACAAGGCTACATGGTTCACTCGAGACTTGCAGTTCATCTCAAACCTAACTACATGGTAAATTTTAAGAGCCAGTAAACTAACTATTTTTGCTTTGATTAGTGCTTCTTATAAGCATGAAGGAGGATCAATATATGTAAGCCAACAAGGACGGCAAATGCCAGGTTCCATTTGCCACTACCTACATGTATTCTTGCTAAATCAATTTCAGCCACTATTACATGAGACTACATATTGCACTAAATTCTCGTGTCACACTTTCTATACCACTTATATAGATGGAAAGAAAGAGCCAGAAACCTGCTTTATAAACTATTTAGTTCGTTAAAGGCCATCATTCTTAAAATGATCAGAAGCGGCTACAGCAAGGACACGTATCCTTAGATCACGCTCTCTATAGATGGAAACAAAGAACAAGAAAAGCTTCATTAAATTAAAGGTCAATATACTTAAATTGATAAGAATCCGATAAATTTCATTTTGACACGTGTGATTTAGAAAACAATGATGAACAAAGGATATGTAACATAGAAGCAATCACAAAAGCATCTACCAACTACTTAAGTTTAATTTAAGGACTTCAGTTTATTATCTAGTAAAATCGCATGCATATTGTCATCACAGAGAGTCAGACAGTATGACGCATAGTATAGAACTACTTAATTTGTTCTGAATGGGGCATTCCACAAATTGATAAACTCTAGTCTCTCTCACTTTGACATCAGAACAAAGGATATATAGCACACAAGCAATCATAAAAGAATCTACCAACTATTTTGGTTTATTTATTTGAAGGACTTCAATTCATGAGCGAGTAAAAGCAAACACATCTTTCCATAACAGACAGTAACATTAGCACAATATGTGCTTCAGAACTACTTAATCCATTAAGAATGATGCAATCCTAGAGTTGGTATATACGCGTGAGATCTAGAAAGAATTTAGAACAAAAGATATATAGGCTACAAGAAATCATAGAAGAATCTACCAACTATTTAGGTCTAAACTGAAGGATTTCAATTCAATTAGCTAGTTAAATCACATACAGCTTTCCATAACAGACACTGGCTCAAGCACGACACGTGCTTTAGAACTACTTAGTCCGTTAAGAATGAGATGTTCCTCAAATTAAACAATCGCTGGGAACCAATCATTTTTATCTGAAAAGTGCACTTTATAAATGAAGAATGCAAGAACGAAACACGTGCACGTCAACCACGAGCATGTATCCTATAAGCATAAAACACGAGTAGGTTCGAACTGAAGCACTTCAATTCAATTAGCTAGTTAAATCACATACATCTTTCCATAACAGCCGCTAGTTCAAGCACGACACGTGCTTTAGAACTACTTAGTTCGTTAAGAATGACATGTTCCTCAAATTAAACAATAGCTGGCAACCAATCATTTTTATCTGAAAAGTGCACTTTATAAATGAAGAATGCAAGAAAGAAACAAATGCACGTCAACCACAAGCATGTATCCCAACTTTCAAGATCCAGGAACCAGAATCAACAATCAGATACTTTTGAATTTTTAAACCTGTTGCATCAATAAGAATAACTAACAAGTTATCATAGTGTAGGTTAAAAAAGATGCATTGAAAAGCATTTTCATTTCTCAGGAACTGAAAACTTTCAACTGTTTTCAACAAACTGAAAAGTCATATGTACATCTGCAACTACTCATAACAAGGTTTATAAGCTAACTCTCCCACCATTCCACTAAGTCCCTGACAGATTAGAGGAAAAAGGCACAAAAACAACATACATTTGTTACCCTTTTATCTCTACATGCTTTTCTTTCAGCTGCAGGTCGAGAGACTCATCAGTAACCCCCTCTTTTGCAGCTTGGTATCAGTCTAGTCTAACCCTGCAAGCAGATAACTCTTACCCTTCTTTACATCAAAAAGTCAAGAAAACAGCATAGAAAACGAATTAGTTGAGGGAAACAAATTAATAAAACAATCAAAGAAGAGAAGGAAATCAAATAATCAAAAATTAAACCTTTGCAGGAGCATCAGGTACCCTGTATGAATCACAAGTTATGGAAGGTAACCACAGGCCAGGGAACACGCACTGCCATTCAGAACACAAACCAGTAGTCCATTAGCATCAGCTAAAATATCAAAAGGAAAAGGGCAAAAATTTAGCAATCATGTAACTAAAATTGTTTTACATCGAGTTGTTTCTGAACATTCTTGGCTCTCTTCTTCGGCCTCCTAGAGGGCCTGGACCCAGTCATGGAGAATATATCTTCTTCAATTTCCTCTCTTGACAGCGAAATTGAGAACTTCAGCTTCTTCTCCTTCTTCTTGGCAGCTTTCCCCTCCGTTGGATTCCTAGAGCGAGTCACTCCCTGCCTTTGAGTTTTGATCGCCTGAGCTGCTGGTCCAGCAATCTTTACTCCACCAACACCTGCATTCGAGGCTTTAGGAGCCAGCCTCCTTGGCCTCAGATTCCACGTCTTACCCACCAGCTCCTCAGTCTCTTCAGCATTCAAGTTCTGAGCTCCAGCATCTGCAACCTCCTCGGCAGGCTTCTGGCTCTTCGTTCGGAGACGTATCAAGATCTTCGATCTACCACTAGGGGCAGTGGATTTATTCTCCGAGCTCTCAGCCACAGAATCCGAACCGTTACCCGCTTTCTGCATCTCGATTTTTTCAGACTTGTGTCCCGACGAAGACGAAGCGGCTCCACTCTTCCCAGCTTCCAACACTTGATCCTTCCTCCTACTCTCAGAATCGGAATCAGCTTCCTGTGTAGCAGGCTTTCTGAACCGGTGGTTGTTCGGTTGATTCATAGCCCATTTTAAATCAGGTAACGAGAAGTTATGAAGCGGCTGCGATTTCATTGTTGAAGAAGCCATTGGTGAAACTCTTTGGTCTTTGTTACTTGTAGTTGTCGTTGTCTCCAGCGTGCGATGGAGTGAAACACCATTTATCGGTAACTCCTCAGTTGTATCTCAATTTCGATTTAAGAACAGAATTGAAGAAAAAAACAATGGATTCCGATTGACGGATTGAAAACAAAAGAAACATTCAAAAACAAAGAGAAGATGGATTGAAAATTTTGACTTCAGGGAGGGGATTTCCGGCGCTGTTTTGTGTCCGATTGAAGCTTAATTCAACGGAGGAAATGAGAAGAATTCAGAGGTGAAGGGAATTGGGGATGGAGAGAAATCAAAATTCATTGAATTTGAAGACGAAGACAGAGAGAAATAAGAGCACTGTGTGTGGGAGTTTTAAGAGCAGTTATGATACACCTGAACTGATATGAAAACAAAACAGAACAAAGGTTTTATTTTTATGACATTTTTGCCCATGCTGAGATTTGTGTATTTACTTGAG